TATTAGTTTCGATGAATGTGTATATGTATATATTTATATATACGTGTGTGTTATGAAATATGGAAAGTGATAAAATGTATGAAAATCATGATCATAGGGGGTAGGAGTTCACCAGGGCATGTGTGGATGTGTGTGTATGGAGATATGAGTGAATAAATCCATATAGTCAAGCTAACACAATAGGATATCCAGTGCAGCATATTATCGATGGTACCATGGATAATTCGGTATAGCATATTATAGGACTGTTACCATAGGACATCCGGGTAGTCTGACAACTCCCTAGTGACCATTAGGGTGTGGTTAGGAGTTAACGACGCCTTTATCACAAATGTGTGATATGAGGGAAATCATAGTCTGTAGTTGTGATAGATTACATTTGGCCAGGTGTTTTTACTACCGAAAGTGTACTTAGGTCAATGGGTAGTTGATCTAATAGAGCCTATGGTTTCATATTAGGGAGCTTTGAAGGATCGGTGGATAGATGATCATGATATTATCCTGATTGTGTGAAATCATTTATGATAGAAAGAGAAATTATGTTACTTTGACTATATAAACTATTGAAATGGTTTTTGGTTACTTTCATGCAGTTATCTATGTTAGTGAACATTTATGCTATATCGGTTACTAAGATTTTTTTCTCACTTGTCGTTATTTATATTTTTTAGGTTCTAACAGTTGTAATGCTCAAGGGAAAGATTCAGGTTGAGAATTGTGATGTTATTGATAAAGCCTCATGAGAATTGGTGTAATAAATTTATATATAAGTAGTGGTAAATGTGTATATAAGTTGTCTTAGGAAACTTGTGCATTTTACTGTGAGTTTTTGAGGTGTTTGGTGCTTTGACTTCCCTAGCCCTATGTATATGAGTGTATATGATGAAATGATAGTGTAGGCTAGTGGATGAATGATGATATGTGTGGAAATAATGAATGTGGGATATGTATGTGAAATTGGCCTTGTGTATGAATAAAATTGAAGAAATATGAATTTGCCTAAGTTATGTGTAATAGATAGTTTATAGGCTAATTGGGTGTATGTGTGTTATATTGTATATATAATTGGTCTATCAATTGTACATTGTTCATTTGGATGTAGCCAAGGCCCTAGGAGTGGCTAATAACATATGATTTCAATTTGATATGCTCGAGTGGCGAATTTTATGTTAAAATAATTAAAATACACTTAAGTGTCCAATTTTTGAACAAAATATCATATTGAAAAGAAATTAGTGTCATTAGTTAGATTTTAAAACAAGCTTCATGTAGGAGTTTGAATTACCCCAATCGGACAGCAGATGTGAAAATGGCACACTTATGAAGTTTGTATCAAAATCTAAAATTTATCAGCAGATTCTGATACATATGCGATGGCGTATGTGTCAGTAAAGGACAACATGCCGTGGTGCATGGCACAGAGAGTAACGCTGGGGTCTCTGTGACATGAGCTGTAGTGCATGTGAAACAAGCTACGTTGTGTGGCCCCCATTTTGACTTAATTTAGTTGAATTGCACTTGTTGTCTAATTGATTTTGGGATGCTATTGTATAATGCTTTTTCTATGTAATATTTTACAACTCGTATATATATTATAAATGGTTTTAGAAACATTTTCATAGTAGGATCCTAAAGTTTTCAAAGTTAATTATTTTGATTAGTTGTTAGCATGGAGGATCATATGGTCATGGTTAAAGGCATTACACTTTGTACCATATGTCACGGCACACGATACACTTTTGAGGAAAATTATTCTTTGATTTCTTAAGCGTAGGTAAGGTTTCCATGCTTCTATAAGCCCTCTTTATCAAGCATCAATTATATGTTCAGTGTGTTTCCAAAGTAAGTCAGGATCCCATATTTTTAAAACAAATTAAGGGTTTGTATTATGCTATGATGTGTGGAAAGTGTAGTAAAGTTTGGTATGATTTGTGGGACCTTACACTTTCTCACCTTTTCTTCAATTTTCCCACCCAATCAATAACCCATATCTCTCTCAATTCTCATCTAAATCTCATGAACTACTTTCATTCTTCTCCTCTTCTCAATCTTGTCCAAAACCTCTAAAGAAATCAAGGATTAAAGGCTCAAATCAACTATGGGAAGGATTCAATAGAAATCATGAAGGATTACTGGAAGGGAGATGGAAGAGATAGAGTTCACACATTCTTTACTTGCCTAAGGATCTTCTAAGCCTAGATTCTTTTCATCTTACTTCAAGTTGTAATGCTAGATTTAGGTTACAATTTCATTGGTTCATGAATTATGATTTAAGGTCATCATCTTTTGTAATGAAGGAATGCTTGTAAACTCTTTTCACTTGCCTTGTTCAAAGCATGAATTACGTCCATATCATGTTACTACATAATCTTGAGTTAATGTGATATAATTTGTCTTGAATTAGCCTTTACATAATCATGTGGGTTGGTTAATTGACTTGAATTGGATTGTTGCATAATCTTGTGATGATTCTATGTCTCTATCTTACTTGGTCATGGCTATGTCTAGGGAAAGCACACTAGGACACCTAATCTAGATGGTTGGTCATGGCTCTCTTCACTTAATTTAGGGAATTGAGTTAGGTTAATTAGTTAATCCAATTAGGTTTAATTGAATCTAGGTGGAACTTGATCTAGTTAGGAAGGGAACCTTAGTTAATAACTTTAGTTGGAAATGAAATCTCTAACATTGAATTCCTAGGAATCTCCACAATTGACATAGGGTATTTCATCAATTTCCTTTAGCTTAACTTGCACTAGTTTTTTAGATAGCTTAGTGTAGTTTAAACTCTTAAACATTTGGGTAACTTATCCACTTGGTAACCTCACATTTGAATTTTAGCATGCACTAAAGAGATGATCTAGGGTTAACCTTTTTATTACATTAGGGTTAAAGCTAGTATTATTTTAATAGGTGTGTGATTAGCCTGGTCATATAGGCACTTTTCATGTTAAGATATAGGCACTTGTCATTTTAAGATATAAGTAGAAAGAATAACATGAAAGAAAATGTAAGTGTACATCAGTGAAATACTACGAGATCTCATGTTTTCAACTAAATCATGACAAGTACACCATAATCTTTCCTAAAGGCAAGTAGTATATAAACAATAATGACAAGTGTTCAAACTAAACAATGGCATGACATAAATGATATAAGTTGTAACTGTCATGCTCAAAAAATAGAGGGTGACTGACGTATAATATAAATTATATCATACACCCCTTAAATTTTAAATTAAGAAAAATTTTCACTTTCAAAGACATAATTAGATTGGTGTTGAAATTATGACATCTTTAATAATATTTGTTTTAATGAAAGTTTTAATATTTTTATAAAAGTTTTGGCAGAACCTTCCTTATAAATAGGATTTCTAGAAATTTCTATAATAGAACTTATTATAGTATGCATTCAACATATTGGAACTATATTTTCTAGACACAGACAGTCAACATAATAAAACAAAAATCAAGATTCTAGTTGTAGTTAATGTGGAGTACCTAAGACATAAATTTCAAAATAAAACATATAATTGAATATTTACATTAAAAGAGAAGGGATTTACAAAGATGAATATTTATCCAGCACAGTTGCAAGCCCTTAATAGTTGGCAAGAGATCTAGCGTAAGCTAATGAAGCTAAGATCAAAATATTTTTTAGTGAATAGCATCCCCAAAAATAGAATTTAAAAAAGTAAAATAATATACTTACTATTATATGAAATAATTGAAAGGAAAATAATTCAGTATAATAACTCACAAAATCTAGAAATATCAATTATAGGAATAAAACGTGAATGAGTTAAAATTACTTGAATCTGATATGCTAAAGGAGAATAATTTATTCATAATTGAGTAAAAGTAGCAAACTTACTAACTGCAAATATTGAAAATTCAAATATACTAATTAAGAACAATCAATATAATATAATTATTGACTTAAAGGTTAAGAAGTTCCATATAGCTTCAAAGTACTAAACCACTAAATTGACAATGACAAAACAGTTCAACTCTTTATTCTTATAAAACAAATTAAGTAAATAAATAAATAAATAATAATATCTTTTATTAAATAAAACCAATAAAGTATGTATTCACAAATCAATTAAAAGTTAATATTTTTAAGGACTTTTGCAAAACAGGTAACAAACGTGGACACATAGTTCATGAGGGTAAAATAACCAAATGCGACTTATGCCACGAAAACAAACATGGACACACAGTTAACGAGAGTAAAATAACCAAATGCGGGCGAAATCAAACAACAAATGTAGATACATAATCCACAAGAGTAAGACTAACCAAACACGGCTTGAAGCCACGAAACAAATGTGAGTGCGAGGCTCGTGAATAACAAATGTACGAACAGAGCTCACAAAAATCAATCTAGTTAGTTATTAACCAAGGCGCACTAAGAGCTAACGGAACTGCCATTAGTGATAGTGTTCTGCTTTAAGTCCTCGTAAAATCACTTTTTAAACATGTGAGAATAATTATTTCTAAAATACAATTTGCGTTCTTAATATCAAACTCGCATGAATCTTTTCAAATTTTAAAGCTCACCAAAATAATATTTCATGGCCAATGTACAAGCTTATATTAGTTGGGTAACCAAGAATTTCTAGAGTAAAATAAACAAAGATGCCTCCATCAATCTTGAAAGTATATTTCGTAAAGAAAATACATGCATATATCATAATTTAATTAATTTTCATCATTATTCTAAAATTTCCAGAACCAAAATGATTTAATTAACAAAGTACATAATAATCATCATAGTTGTTAAAATAATTTATATGAAAATGTAATATTTTTAAAAACAGACTACTTTTATAAAAAATAACGGGGAGCTATTTACTTATCTGTTAAATTTCAAAATCCAGAATTCATATCTTAATGGGGTGCTATTGGACCAAAAATTTGGAATAATTTGCTAATTTAACCATTCTTATAAATAAGTCTTTTAGTTGTGAACTATTCCTAATTTTGCCGTACAATAGGCATGTTTAAACGGCATCGGTCTCCTCCTCCGCCTCTGCCCCGCCTCGGCGCCTCCTCTTTGCATTTTCCATCTGCAGAGGCTCAGTTGAGAGTTGAGACTTGAGGCAGAATCATGGGAACTTCGGTGCAGGTTACGCCCCTCTGCGGAGTGTACAATGAGAACCCTCTCTCATACTTGGTCTCTATTGATGGCTTCAACTTTCTCGTAGACTGTGGCTGGAACGATCACTTTGACCCCTCCCTCCTCCAACCTCTTTCGAGGTCTCTCTCATCCTTTACTTTTCCGAATGTAGTTATTTTTCTCGTTTTGCCATTTCTGTTTCTTTCATATCGCTGCTTCTTCTTTTTTGCCACTTCAATTCTTAGTTCTCTGCCTGGTAGAACAAGAAACCAAAGATTCAAACTTGAATTTAACGCCTTGACGTAATTATTTCTGTTGACCTTGTTCAGAAATAGAGTAGACGGGTTTTCTTGAGACCCTTTTTCTTGTTTTAAGAGGTAGAAATAAAAAGTAAAGGCATATAAGTTCGTCACAAAATTGATGCTCAACCATATTTGTTTCTGTTATTTCTTGAAACGCGGTGTGGCGTGTAGGGTAGCACCGACCATAGATGCGGTCTTGCTTTCACATGCGGATACACTTCACCTGGGTGCCCTCCCGTATGCTATGAAGCAGCTTGGACTTTCTGCTCCCATTTATTCAACAGAACCTGTGTACAGATTAGGCCTTCTTACTATGTATGATCAGTATCTTTCAAGAAAGGTGAAGATTTCATACTGGTTTTACTTTTTCTTCAGTGGGCTTTACCCTGAATATATAGACGTTTATCTTTTTCTTGATTTCTCTGGGCTAAATAAATAGATGGTTCTACTATTTTTGAATCAAGTATACAATCTTGAAATATTGAAAACTTGTGTTTCTTCTCCAGATTAGGTATAATGTAATTGTTTTATTCATCTTCAATTTTCTTATGGTTTTATTAATTGATTATACTATTTTAATATCCAACATTGGCAGTTTCTTCATGATCCCTTGCAGGATTGCCTGTTTGATTTCTCAAGTAGAATATAGGTAGTGTGTGTGTGTGTGTGTATTTTGGGGCCAAATACTTGAGGTGAGAAAATTCTCCTTTTGCAGCAAGTATCAGAGTTCGATCTGTTCACACTAGATGATATTGATTCTGCTTTCCAAAGCATAACCAGGCTAACATACTCTCAAAATCATCATCTCTCAGGTAGAAATTTTGAACAATTGTACATTTTTTTGGTCAATTCAAAATTTTTCATGGAATGAGTCTTTCTAGCAGACTTGGTTTATTCTGTAGGATTTATAGTGTGTTGTTTTGTATTTTGTTAAATTCTACTCTGTCTTTTCAATTATTATCTTGTTCTTTCAGCTCTAAGTTTACAGAGGTATGGCTTTTTCAAAGATTTGTGATAAGATTCCATCAGTACAACAGCCTTTGCACACCTGTGTTAGAACTTAGAAGACATAATCATGCTAAGCTAGTGGCACATGGTAAGGGTAGGTGGGGAAAGGTCCGACCAGGTAATTGAGGAAGCAGTTAGCAGGGGAATCGAGTAACTGTCGACTCCCCTCACCACATTGAGTAGGATGACTGGGAGAGGATGCGAGTTTTTTCTAGCTTGTAATTTTAGATATTCCACTTGTTTAACAAATAATTAAGTGCTTAAGATCCTTACACTTTATCTTACAGTAAAAGAAAATAGCTTCTGCTTTTCTCTTTGCTCCCTGAATCTATCAATTCAAATAAGGCTACTTTTTAAGAATCCCCAAGGCCAATTGACCCTCATTTTTAATGGAGTTCTTTCAGCTGAAACATCCCTTTGCAAATTGGCTGTAGAACTTTAAAACTATAATGTTAAATGACTGTTACTTAGTATTTTAGATTGTCCAGCAACTTGCTACATTTGAAGCACGCTTTTTTGTGTGTTTGGTGTGTGTGTGATGTTTTTTTTTTTTTTTTTGGGTCTGGTTTCCCTTTTTGAGTGAGGATCAGTTTTTCTTGATTATTTTATAGGTTTTGGTTGGAACTAAGGATGGTAAAACTTTTTTCCCCCTCTTAATTTACATTATCAGTGTTTTTAGCTGAGGCAAAATGCTTGAACCTTTAAGAAACAATCATGGTTCTCTTTAGTGTTTAGCACATTTTAGAGAGTTCCTTTACTAGGACTTGCAAAAGATCAGAGAACTTTCTTCTATTCATTTTGTGGCGTTGCTTTTGTTTTATAATACTTAAAGATGGTGTTTATTTACTTCTCTTTCTCTTTCCATACAAAGAATTTCTTTGTTCTGAAGAAGATGAATCATCCCATATATATCTGCTAGTGTTGTAGTGTTATCCTCCTCCAGATGTACTATACATATTAAATTTGATACTATTGAACTTTAACTTTCAAAATCTTGAGCAATAAAAAAAAAAAAATACAACGAAATTAGTTCATTTTTCATTTGAGATATGGGAAGTGTAAAACAACAACAAAAACAACGAGGCTTATTTTGCAAAGTCAGATTAGTTACATGGATCACATGATGACATTGTTTTTTATGAACAACCAACTCTTTTGATATATCACTTACAATAGATCCTGTTTGATAACTCAGCCTATGTTTTATAGGGCAGTCTTAGACGTTTGGTAGTAAACATAAAGATTTGTCAAATCTCATCTGACATAGTTATTGGTGTAGCTTTAATTAAAATATTTTTCATCCGATGGTTTTCTTTTCTTTTCTTTTTTTTTTTTGTAGGGTATGTTTTCTAGGGATTGGAAATCTCTTTTATGCTAATGTCTTTGATTTCTTTTTGCTGTTTTGGAAGGACTTGTCCTTAGTAGTTTTTTGTATCATACTTCTCATCTCATTTCTCCAGTAAATCCTTTCTTTCATACCCAGGAAAAGGAAAAATTCATGAGCAGGACTAATTAACAATACCTTACGAGAATCATTCATCATACATTTATTTCAAATACAGTTGAAGCTCTAAAATTTTATGTAGTCATGCAAACTCCTTCTGGAATGTAACTAAGAATCTAAATGTTTTACTGAAGATAAAAAATTCTTAATGTTGTATAACTTTGAATGATATGCTTGTATGAAATGATTAATTGTATAATGTTATTCATATGACCACAACTTATAAGCACATCTCCCCATAGTGTGGTTCTGTGTGATTTACCTTAGTTGGCATCATGACTACAATCAGGCAAGGGAGAAGGAATTGTGATTGCTCCTCATGTTGCTGGACATCTGTTGGGAGGTACTGTGTGGAAGATTACTAAGGATGGCGAGGATGTTATATATGCTGTTGATTTTAATCATAGAAAAGAAAGGTAAAGATTTATTTGAATTACCTTGGTTTAATATGGTCTCTACGTCATTAGATCAAAACAAAAAAAGAAGAAAGAAGAAAGTCTAGTTCTTAATATGGGCTTTTTTCAGGCATTTAAATGGAACTGTTCTAGGTTCTTTTGTACGGCCAGCTGTTCTTATAACTGATGCCTACAATGCTCTGAACAATCAGCCCTATAGACGACAAAAGGACAAGGAATTTGGAGGTATATAGCATTCTAATTTTTAAATACATTTTTTGTAACTTTTTTATTTTTCTAAAATTTTCTTTTAAAAAATTGAAATAATTCAAACCAAGTACATTTATGGATGACGCAACATGTACAAAAAATTTAGGCAATGTATGTGAAGAAAATTCTGAAGGATTTATACGCATTGAATAGTCATATTCTTATTTTCAATTATTTAGATATAATGAAGAAGACTCTAAGGGCAGGTGGCAACGTATTACTTCCTGTTGAAACTGCTGGACGAGTTTTGGAACTTATTTTGATATTAGAATCAGTAAGTAGAGGACTTATTTCTCTCTTATTCCCCTCTTTCCTGAAATATTATTTCCCTAATCGTGCAAGTTGAGATTTGATTGTGGTATTTGCAGTATTGGGCTGATGAAAGCTTGAGCTTCCCTATATATTTTCTTACATATGTTGCATCTAGCACAATTGATTATGTGAAGAGTTTCCTTGAGTGGATGAGTGACTCTATAGCAAAGTCCTTTGAACAAACTCGTGAGAACATTTTTCTTTTGAAGTAAGTGGGATCTGTTTTTATTTAGTTTTTAGCATTCAAATATCAATGATTTTGATCTTTGGGATGGATTGTGCTTTTAAATCTCATTTTTAGCACATTTTATGGCATAACATGCATTTTAACCTAAGGTCATGTTATGTCTCCTGTAATATTTTAATAAGAAGATTTGTTTGAGGAGGGAGACCTTGAAAACTTAATGGATTTTCTTGTTTTAAGAATCTCTTAAGCATACATTTTATTAAAAAAAAGGGAAAAGAAAAAGAAATAGAGTGGATATTTTCTAAATATACACAATGGCAATGGGCCATTAATCTCTTGTATATTAAAAAAAGAAAAGAAAAAGAAATAGAGTGGATATTTTCTAAATATACACAATGGCAATAGGCCATTAATCTCTTGTATATGATATACACAGCCATTTTGAAAATGAAATCGTTTACTTTGCTAATAGTATCTCAATTTAAGAGGCTTTTTATGCTTGTACCTGCAGGTATGTCAAACTCATAGTTAACAAGAGTGATCTTGAAAATGCTCCTGAAGGGCCAAAGGTTAGGTCTTTTGTATGCTTTTATAGATACCTTTTTTTTTTACTGGCTTTAACATGTGTAGCATGTGCTATGTATCATTTGTAGGTTGTTCTAGGATCCATGGCAAGTTTGGAAGCAGGATTTTCTCATGATATCTTCGTTGAATGGGCAAATGATGTAAAAAATCTTGTGCTTTTTACAGAAAGAGGCCAGGTACTTCTCTAGAACATTTGCCTTTGTTAATGTGTTTCAATGATCATTTGAGGCTAGTGAGTCTCACAGTCGAGCGAGCTTTATTTGATGCTAAAGGAACTTCTATCTTTCTATATGGTAGCAGAAGTACATTCTAGTTGCAAAACAAAAAAAGAAGGATGGGAATTGGGTTTGGTTTATGAAAAGGAAATTCTCTAGTGCCTTTGAGAACATTGTGAAATCTTATATTTAATTCTGTATATGTTTATATGAAAAGGGAGTACGGATTGTTTATATTAAAGTCATATAGGATATGTATGAGGGGGTAAAAACTAGTATAAGAACGTTTAGTGGTCAAACAAAGGATTTTCCTATAAAGATTGGACTACATCAGGGATCATCTTTGAGTCCTTATCTATTTATCTTGATCCTAAATGTTTTGACGGAATATATTCAGGGGAAAATTCCCAAATGTATGCTCTTCGCGGATGATATAGTTCTTATAGCAGAGACAAGAGAAGAGGTTAATTGCAAACTTGAGTTATGAAGGAGGACATTGGAGTCGAAAGGTTTCCGTCTAAGTAGGAGTAAGACGGAATATTTATGTTGTAAATTTGGTAAGAGACTAGTCGACAATAATTTGGAAGTGAAATTGGGAGATCAAATTATACCTCAAGTGGAAAAATTTAGATATTTTGGAGCCATTATTCAAAATGATGGTGAAATCAGTGGGGATATTTCACATAGGATTCAAGTTGGGTGGTTTAATTGGAAAAAAGTTAGAGGAGTTATTTGTGACCATAAGGTGCCTAATAAATTTAAAGGAAAGTTTTATCGTACTGTTATCAGACCGGTCATATTATATAGTAGTGAATGCTGGGCTTTAATGGGACAACAAGAGCATAAAGTTGGAGTAACAAAGATGAGAATATTACGATGGATGTGCGGACATACACGTAAAGATAAAATTTGAAATGAGCACGTATGTGAAAAAGTGAGGGTAGCACCTATTGAGGAAAAAATGGTAAAAAATCGGTTGAGATGGTTTGGACATGTACAAAGAAGACCACGAGAGGCACCAGTGAGAAAGGTGGAATATATAACTTTGAGTCTGATTAAGAGGGGTAGAAGAAGGCCTAAGAGAACACTCTTGGAAGTTGTTGAACGCGATCTCTTAATTAATAATATTCCTAAAAACTTGATAACTGATAGAGCACAATGACGTCTTGCAATCCATGTAGCCGACCCCACCTAGTAGGATAAAGGCTTGTTGTTGTTGTTGTTGTAGTTTATATTTAATATAAATATTATAGGATCAGTCTTTTTTTAATTCCCCCTGATTTCTTGGCCCCATATAATTATTTGGGCTGATCATATTTGTTGTTTTTCTCCCAAATGTGTGGAATAAAATTATCGAAGAATTATTTCCCTTCTCTTCTACATGGTATTAGAGCATGGAGGGAGTTTGTTAGATTCTTTAGCGCCTGAGGTTGACTCTACCCATTGACCAGAAGTCCAGAATTGAGCACCTGTCCTGTGATCTTTGTGCCTGAGGGAGCGACTTCAAATGGTGCTAAAGTGGTTGCCGCAACAAGCCATGAAGGTCTGATGGTGGTCATTGTGTCTGAACGTCTCATTTGTGAGACTTACAGGGAGTGGGCTTAGTCAATGAATCTCGCACTCGATGGTATGGTCAAACACGGATTTTTTTTTCCCTAGTTATACAGTGATCCCAAACTTAACTGATCTGAAGTCCCTAAAGGTTTGGCAGCATGAAAAGTCACTAATTTCATCTTGGCTCATTAATGCCATGTTACCCACAATCAGAAAGAGTTTTATGTTCCCCCTGACAACAGAAGAAATATGGGAGGCAGTTCGAGAAAGTTTATTTTGATGGCAAAAATGCATCTCAGGTATTCTAGATTAAATCCAAAATTTGGTCACTGGTTCAGGGGTCATGATCTCTTAATGAATACGATATAGGGACAGTGAGCCTTTGGCAAGAATTGGATTTAATTACTTAGGAAGACTAATGGTGTCTTGAAGATGCTGCCAAACATGGAAAAAGGGTAGAGAAGGAAAGTCTTTTTGAGTTTCTTGTGGGATTACACAATGACCTTGATGATACTTGCAGTAGGATTCTAAGTATGGATCCTTTACCATCAGTATGTGAAGCCTTTACCATAGCATGAAGTTTCATATCACAAAATGTTGAAGGTGGATTTTGTACCTTGAACTAATGTTTTAGAATCTTTCACTCTTGTGCGCTTTACAGACCAGAAGAACAATAAAGGGAGTTCAGTCTCTGATCATTGCAAGAAAATGATTCATTCTAAGGATACCTGCTGGGATATTCATGGCAAACCACTGGATTGAAAACCGAAGAAGGAAAAGGCTGTGGTTATGTCACTGAAGCCTCAAGAAGTGAGGAATTGGGTCCTTACAATTTTTTATCACATGATGATCAACTTAGTAAAATCCTGGCCATTCTAACGACACTATCAAACAACCACCAACCTTGTAAATTACTTGTTGCCACTATTGTTCAAAGAGGCAATTTTTTCAAGGCTTTGGCCACCATTAAAGGTATGAGTTCCAAAATTGTTGGACTTGCTAGGAACTCAAACAATCTTTCTTTATCAATTCGCTTTTGGAATTGTACAGCATCATTAGAGCAGCGCCAATCCTCTTCACTATTGAGGTCCAATTCTTGCCAAAGAGCCATTTTTTCAGGGTAATAATCATTCAAGCTTTAAGTCTCTTGCTTCATATTCCACAATTTAGTCTTGCTTTCAAATATTTGAGAAACATTTATCACCGCTAGAATAAGCTTCTTTGATTGCATCCCATATGTCATGAGTAGAGGGCAGAAACATGAAGCTCTTTTTGATGGTAGGGACCATAGCATTGACGAGCCATGTTGAGACCATTGAATTCTCGGCCTTCCACAGTTGAAGCTTGATCGCATTAGTGGAGTTTGGTGCAGGCACTTTCCCTATCAAATGACCCATCTTCTCATGACGCTCAACAACCAACCTGATTGACTGTGCCCATTCTCTATAATTTTCACCAATGAGCTTTTTCGGAACTATCAAAACCTCAGTGCACCATCGCTGTCCTTGAGATTCAACTCCATTTTGGTTCCTATTCGTGCATCATTCCCCCCTGGCTTTGACACCATGTGTGACTATGGAGGGAGAAAATATTTCTCTTATTTGCAGAATAATCAAGCATACAAAGATATATACAAAGAGGGCATTTAATTGGGAGCCCAAAATCAGGAATACAAGATAAAATTAGAATATTCTAGATCTTAAATTAACTCCCTAAAATTGGGTGTTCATAGCATAATAAAAATAAATATTCTAATATTAATGACTAGGATTTCCACATGAACTTGACATCTAGTGCCAATGTTTCTTGAAAATCAATGCCATAGGCTTGAGCGAAACCTTTGGCAAAAGGCCATGCACTGTGCCTATTCACACTCCTGTTGGGATTGTGTTTAGTAGCGAACACCCATCTACAGCCTACAATTGTTTTACCTTGAGGAAGTTCAGTCAACTTCCAGGTCTGAGTTTAATCATAGCCTCCATTTCTTCATAAATGGCTGCTTCCCACATTGGGTTCTCCATATCCTCATTAACATTCCTAGGTATTCGATCAGCTGCAATCCTAGCAATAAAAGATTTTTTTACAAGGGATAATCCTACTATACAGAGTTACCAATAGGATGTTTAGTAGTGCAAGACCTTACCCCTTTTCTCAAAGCAATAGGCCACCCCAAGTCGCTGAACTGAGGATCTGAGGTAAAGTTAGATGATTGGTATAATGTGTTGAGATTGATCAATTACTTTCTCTTACTGGACCTGTTCTTGCGCCTGAGTCCTCTGGGTAGATACGAATTGGTCTGATTCCTCATTTTGGACATTCCTAGAATGTTCCTCTCTCTAGTCATTGATGGGGTCAGGCTGTTCTGTGGAAGGTTCAGGTTGATAGGAATCGGGTTCAGGGTCCTTTTCAAGAGTTTCAGAGGTTGTTTCAGGTAGCTGTTCAGAAGTTTCTGGGCTATTTTCAGGTGTTTCCAGGTCAAGAAGTGGCTGGAAATAGGATGGTCTACCTAGGGGCGATTGTTGTTGGTCATAAGAAGGCCATTCTTGTTGTATACATTCTGTTTCTCCTCCTGCATGGCCTTTTTAGGAAAGTAGGGTTGATTTTCAGCAAAAGTGACATCCTTGGAAGTGTAATATTTTTGAGAGGAGGGTGGTAGCATCTGTACCCCTTTTGGGCATGTGAGTATCCAGCAAAGAGGCTTTAAAGCACAGCGATCAAGCTTAGATGAGTGAGGTATGTGAACATATGTTGTGTACCCAAAGATTTTGAAAGGTAGCGTCCCCATAAGTCTAGAGGTAAGATAAGTTTCAAGTAGAACTTGGAATGGTGTTTTGAAATTGGGAATGTTGGAAGGTGACTTGTTAATAAGATAAGTTGCTGTGAGCATAGCTTCCCCTCACAAATAATTTGGAACATTTGAGACAGGTAAAAGTGATCTGGTCATATCTAAAATATGGCAGTTTTTTTCTTTTTTGAAACTTCATTTTGTTGTGAATTATAAGGACAAGAACTTTAGTGGTGTATCCCATGAAAACTTAGGTAATTTTCAAGGTTGGAGCTGAAGAATTATCTTGCATTGTCAGTTCTAAGAATCTTGATTTTTGCTTGGAATTGATTTTCATTCAACGCATGGTATTTCTGGAAACAAATAGGCACTTCAGATTTTTATTTTAGTAAATATACCCAAGTTAAGCATGTAGGGTCTTCTATAAAGGTGGCAAGTCACTGTGCTCCATTTGTTGTTTTTTGTCTTAGAAGGACCCCGTACATCACAGTGAATTAAAATGAATGGTTGTGAAGGATACGATGAACGAGTGTGTTTGGCTTAAGTAAAGGAAAGATCTTTATTCATGAACGAGGGTACAACTTCTTAAAGTACTCATGACTGGGATGGTCTGAACAAAAATAAAACAACTTTATTTCATCAAGAACCGAGTTAGACACAAAACTAACAGACATATGGCTGGGAACAGATCTGGTAACACATGCTGTCTTCAATGCAAAATCTTGTCTTTGGAAGTAATATAGATCTCCCTCTTTGTCACATTTGCCAAAGATCTTCGCCGACCTCATCCTGAAAATATAGCAAGTTGACTTGAAGTTAATTTTGTAATTGTTGTGGTCAGCAAGCTTACATAGAGAGAGTAAGTTGTTATCTAGCTTTGGGACATTTAGCACATTATACAAAGTCACATAAGGTGACTGGGTAAATTACTTGTGACATATTCACATGATGAATCAACAATTCTTACTATCCATCTTTTAGTACATGGCCTAACTTCTTCAAGAGATGTCAGCCGTCATATGTTCTGTGGTTCTTGAATCAACTACCCACATATCAGGGCTCAGTCTAACATGAGGAAAGACAAAGGAGATTTTAATTGACTTTCCTATCAAACCGGTGGCTGTACTCATAATTGGAGGCTTCTCATGATTGCTTAGAAGTTTTTGCAAGTAGTCAAGCTATTCTATAATCTGATCAAGGTTCAGTTTTGATTCATTGTCACAGCTAGTTGTATATCCACGTCTTTCAATTTTCTCTCTCTTTCTAAGCTGGATGTGGTTGGGACGCCCATGTAGCTTCAAACAAAAATGTTTTGAATGCCTTGTTTTGTTGCAATGCTCACAGATAAGGTGAAGGCCGTTCTTAGGCTTTTCTTCTGAGTTGTTTCAACCTATCATGTAAGTTATGTCACTAGTGGGAGGAAGTTGTTGACTTCTGTAAACTCTCTTTTCACTTTCTTCCCTGTTAACAATAGCAAAGACTTCTCATAGAGAAGCAGGGGATTATAACTTAGGATTCTACTTCTGGTTTCTTCAAATTCTGGATTTAAACCTAGTAAAAATTTGTAAACCGGTTTGGCTTCTACATGCTTTGTGCAGTACTTAGCATATTTAGTGCATGACCTCGCATGTATTCCATTTGCTGCCACAGAAGAATAAATATTAACAGTCATACTCTCGTGTTTGATTTCATGAATCTGTCCCTCAATCTCAAAAAGAACAGTGGTATTGGAAGAAGCAGAGTACAAATCTCAGGCTGCTTCCCATATATCCATAGCTGTCACACACATCATGAAATTCCTCTCTATATCAAGCGTCATGGAATTCACAAGCCAAGACATGACTTGATTATTCACAACCCTCCATGTAGCATATTTGGCATCAGTAGAATTGGGAGGAGGGGATCTACGGTCAAGATATTCTTCTTTCCCTTTGCCTTGAATAAACATAAGGAAAGATTGTGATCACTAAAGATAGTTCTCACCTTCAAGCTTGTGCCCAGTGATTAGCGTAGGCATATCATTGGAACTTTGTGCTGTCAGAGCAGTGGAGTTGCGGCAGTGTGATTGGCAGATGTTAGCACCAAAGCTTCTGGAGTTGCGTGTTTCTTTCACATTCATAGAAGAGGAATCCATCTTACCGTTCACAGCCCCATATTGGCCAAATTGGATAGAGGGATTCTCTATGGCTCTTTTACCACGCAGACATGGCTGAGGTATTTTGTTCTCAGCTGTCTTATTTTATCCAATGAAAATAGGGTAAAAATTGGAGTCTCCGAAGTTCTATTCTGCCTCAAGGAGATCTAGGGTAAATCTCTATATTACTCTAGATGATACTGAATAATAAAAAGCCATCTGAAAAGGGAGATATAAAAAAAACTAAATAAAAAAAACTAAATAAAACAGAGAATTAAAGTAACCAGAAACAATAATAAATCTAATAGAGAAATGATCCCAAGAGTGTAAGGCTCAAATATGACGTTCTTCAACATTTGCATACCTAAAATCTGGCCAAGAGGGAAAAAAAGAAAAAAAAAAAGACATCAAAATGGTTTAGGGCTTTAGGCAGTCAATGCTGAGAAACTTGCCAAAAATATGGTGCCATTATTGCTTTGTCGATTGTGGATAGTATCACTACATGTGTAGTACCATTCATCAAAGAACAACCTTCTCTGTCACATAAATAACACTAACTGCACTTCTTAGCATACTTATTGTGTATAAGTTTCTCCTTTTAGCATCACATAATGATATTTCAGATTTATTTTATAAGAAATTATATTCATATTAATAATGCTTTCTATTATATTTTATTTGGGAAATGTGAAAGCAGAGTGTCATTGTTCTTGTAACAATATTATTTGTGATGGTTTTTATCTTTTACTATTCTTTTGCTTGTTCTAATTAAATCTACAGTTTGCCACGCTAGCTCGTATGCTTCAGGCTGATCCACCTCCAAAAGCTGTCAAAGTCATTGTGTCCAAGAAGGTTCCTTTGGTGGGGGAGGAGCTAATTGCCTATGAAGAAGAGCAAAATCGGATAAAGAAGGAGGAAGCTTTAAAAGCTAGTCTTATCAAGGAGAAAGAGTTGAAGGCATCTCATGGCACTGAAAATAATACTAGTGATCCAATGGTCATTGATGCTGGAAAGAGTCATGCTTCACAAGAAGGTATGAGATTTTTCCAATAAGTATTCTGAAGCCTTTTACTTCAGCTGATTTTGAAAGCATTCTTGCTGTGTGGGGGAAAAAAAAAAACTTGACCAGTTGTCTCTTGTTTCACAACAATAATTCCAACATACCAAACAACATAGAATTAATTCTGATACTTTAAGAACTTTATGATACTTCTTATTACATTTATCACCAGTGATATTTAATGTGTATGAACATATCAAGGGATATGAATTTGTCAGTAATTGAAATTTGGAAATTCTAAAATAAGGTTCTCGAAGTTTGAGAGTTAAAACTTTGGAATTTCTGACAAAAATGCATGTAATTTAGAAACAATTAACTACAGGGAGTTAACTGTTAAAATAGAGGCTATTTGTTAATTATGTATTGAGTTCATCAATCACTCAGTTAATTGCTTGCTTCTTGGAATTTCTGAATTCTAATTCTTCATTTTAGCCTTTATATATTTTTACAAAATCTTAGTCTGCATCAAGTATATAAATTTGCACTTGTATTGGCAGGTTCACGGGGTGGTGGATTCCGGGATGTGTTCATCGACGGATTTGTTCCACCTTCGACGAGTGTTGCTCCAATGTTCCCCTGTTTTGAAAATACAATAGAGTGGGATGATTTTGGTGAAGTTATAAATCCAGATGATTATGTAATCAATGATGAAGACATGGACCACACAGCAATGCATGTGAGTTCCCATTTTCAGGCTGCTTTGGTTTCTGACAAGATTGTATTATGCCCTTCTTTGGCCACACAATGTTTTTGCAAGGGAGTTTTCTTGGCATATTTCGAAGGAATTTGGATGACTTTAATATTTTCAATTACTTTTTATTCTCCACTTCCATTAATTCTTCATGTGAGTTCGCATTTTCAGGCTGCTTGGTTTCTGACTAGATTTTCTTGGCCTTCTTGGGTCACACAATGTTTTTGTAATGTTTTTTTCTTGGCATGTTGTGAAGGAATTGGATAACTTTATTATTTTTAATTACTTTTTATTCTTTTCTCTCTTTTTGTTTTTTAACTTTACAAAAAACTTCATTACTTATCCTATTTTGTCAGGTAGGGGGTGATGTGGATGGAAAACTAGATGAAGCTGCTGCAAGTTTGCTATTTGATACAAAACCATCAAAAGTCATATCTGATGAAAGAACGGTAAGCTACAGTATCTCTTCCTTATATTGTGACGTTTCTACTAATTTTAACACTGTAATTTCATATGAAAATGCCTTCAAAGTTTAGTCAATTCTATTTGGAAATTGATTTAATGCATATAAAACCAAATTGATTGTGGGTTCATGGTACTCAGAATGTTATCCTGTAAATGTTAAATCATCCGTTTCTTTCTGGCATTCTATTTGAAATTTAGCTGCAAAACACAGATGATAATCATTATTGTGCAACATGGAAGGTTCTTTTCATTATTTAATGCATGGTTCCTTTCAAGGAAAAGTAGATCACCATTTTAGTCCAAAGAAAAGTAGATCATAATGTATTTGTATGAATCTTTCTTCCTAATATATGTATAATCGTGTTGGCATTGTTTTTGAACAGGTGCAAGTCAGGTGTTCATTGCTTTACATGGACTTTGAGGGGCGTTCAGATGGGCGATCTATTAAAAATATTCTCTCTCACGTCGCCCCCCTCAAGCTTGTATGGATATCTTGGGTTTTTTTTTTTTTTAAAAAAGATAACTTGCAGGAATCACTAAAACTTCAACTTGTTTATATCCTAACTCATCATCTAACAGGATGGAACTGCCCATCTGGGCTTATCATAGCTTTACATAATTAATTCACAAACATTACAATGGGATTCTGGGTTAGTCTGAACCTGGGTTCCACCTGACCTGAAATTATTGGCACTAGCATGGAATATGAACTTAGGAAATCTGGAAATATAAGATCCTGACAGTTTACTATTTTTTATCTTTTGCCTTTTTTTTTTTTTGGGAAACCACAATATTTGATCCTTGTAGTTTTATCCGGTTTTATTTTTAGTTTTTGTAGTTTTTTTTTTTTTATGTATTTTCAGTCCCTATAGTTTTAGAAAGATTAGGTAACCTTTGTTTTTCAAGTCCCTATAGTGTCCATTTTTTAGTAGTTTTAGTCTTTATAGGGACTGAAAACATTGAAAAAAATTATAGGGACTAAAAAGTAAAACTCGATGAAACTATAGGAACCAAAGATTGTATTCTCTCTCTTTTTTAATATTATACATGAAGACAGAGAGATAGAACTCATCTTCCTTGAGCAAACAAAATTTTAGAAGCCCGTATAAGTATGTATTTATTTCGTATGTAGGTTTTGGTGCATGGATCAGCTGAAGCCACTGAACATCTGAAGCAACACTGCCTGAAGTTTGTTTGCCCTCACGTATATGCTCCTCAAATTGAAGAGACAATTGACGTCACATCTGATTTATGTGCTTACAAGGTAAGGCTGTCAAATTTTGGACCCATTTTTCAACCATCTTCCAATATGTCAATATTAAAGATGTTCTGTTTTTCCTGGTATAGGTTCAACTATCTGAGAAGCTGATGAGTAATGTACTATTCAAAAAGGTAAATATTGGATGTCTATACTGTTTCATTTACATGCCAGTCTTTCACTGCATTCTTTATCAACTCAACAACAGCTCGGAGATTACGAAATAGCCTGGGTTGATGCTGAAGTAGGGAAGACGGAAAATGGTATGTTGTCACTGCTACCACTTTCAGCTGCAACTCCTCCACATAAGTCTGTTCTTGTTGGTGATTTAAAATTGGCAGATTTCAAGCAGTTCCTCTCCGCCAAGGGTGTTCAGGTATTTCTACAGTTAATCTTATCCATTTACTTTTCCTTGCATAGATTGTTCTTTGGCATGTGGGGTATTACCAGCAGACAGACCTTCGGGGTCTAAAACTAGAGCTAGGAATATGAGTTGGGTTATGTGGGTTGGCCCGAATAACTAGTTATAAGGGTTGGTTTGGGTTGAAAAAAATTGACCCAAATAAAAATCGGTCTTTTTTAGTCCAGAATATATAACTTGTGAACCATATGGGTTAACCCTGATGGGTTAAGATTGACCCGTTTAATCCATATTATTTGTAAAAAAAATATAAAGGAAAAATTTTGTGGATAAAAACTATATTAGGCATGACTTACTTAGCTGGATCAGTTTATATATTTTTACAAACATTATAAATTTATTTACAATGACTCATGAAGGAATGTCAAATTAGAACTTATTATTTAGATGTATTTTTTGAAAAAATTCATAAAAAAACAAATAAATGGGTTGGCAGGTTAACCTATTTAACCTACCAACCCTCAAGGGTTGAACCCAACCCAACCCACATTTTTCTCAACTCATATGGGTCAATTCATATGGGTCAGGTTGGCCCATATTCTCACCTCTACTTAAAACTGGATGTTGTCCCTTCCAAGGAATCCAATCATGTTTGACTTGTTAAAAGGGGTAAAAATGCTATTGCCAAGGGTTCTGCAACTAAGGGTGTTCAAAATGAAACCAAACCAAAAGGACTAGACCAACCGAAAAGAACTGAATAAAACTGATTAATAATCAAGTTTGCTTTGGTTTCTAGGCCTCATGGACCCAGAGGTTCAGTGCAGGTATTGGTTTTGAGCATTAGAAACCTAAACCAGATCGAACCAGACCTAATAAAAAATTTGTACTATTTATTTAGTTATTAAATATACTATTTATTTGACATTGTTTGGAATTTTCATGTCACAGCACCGTCAGCCTTCAACTTCAGTCACGTTCACTTTGACCACCCATTATCAAAATTCAAGGCTACCAAAGATTGCAAAATAATTCTTTTCCATTTTGCTTAAAATTTTCCTTTCACGTGGTAAAGGGAAAACAAAAATGGAAGGATGTTGTGATTTTTTTTTTTTCTTATTTGTTCTCTACTTTTTCTTTTAATGAATTTTGTAAGTTACTAAGTTAAATATTATTACTCCTTTCGTCACATATTATAAGACGCTTTTAAAAAAAATTACAAATACTAATAAAGCTAATTAAATACACTTTACAACCTTACTTTTTCAAAGTAAAAATATAAAATTTAAAAAATGCCCATTATTTAATACTTTATTTATAAAATAATATTAAAGAGAGGAAATATATGAGAAGGGTAATATTGAAAAAGTATCATTAATAAACTTTATTTTTGTCAAAATGTCTTGTATTTTGAGACGTCGAATCTTCCCTAATAGTGTTTTATTTTATAATTTGGGATGGAGATAGTAATAAATATACTTTTTACATATATTTTAAAAATAGGAAAAAAAATCAAATAAATCCATCCAGTTAAGCTTGATCCCCATTTGAACCAAACCGAATAGAAAAACCAAACCAAATTGATTAACAAGAAAAATGAAAAGGTCCCTTTCTTAGATGAACCGATTGGTTTAGTTAGTTCGGCTTAATTTTTCACCTGAACTGACCCCACGATCACTCTTATCTGCAACCCTGATAAACAGGGAAAGGCTGAATATCCACTTTAAAAGGCTACGTATCATTTGTATAAAATAGTTTAATAAGTAAAACAATGTATAACGACATATAGATCATTGCAGGTGGAATTTGCTGGTGGGGCACTGCGATGTGGTGAATATGTAACTCTACGTAAGGTTGGTGATTCAACTCAGAAGGCAAGTGGTCCTGAACACAAGTTCTATTTTGAACATTTGTTCTATTTGGATCTAGAGCTGATCTAACTTCCTCCTTTTTCATTTTAATCTCCAGAGCAGTGGTTCTGGTACTCAGCAAATAGTTATTGAAGGTCCTCTGTGTGAGGATTACTATAAAATCCGTGAATATCTCTACTCTCAGTTTTATCTGCTTTAAATATGGATTCAAGGAGAAACATTTCTGAGGTGGTAAGTTGGGACTGTCTGCAAAGCAGCAAACATACTAAAGAATATTTTGCAGGGCTTGAGAAGAAAACACACACCTCTAATCTTTGTACCTCGTAGTATCTTGAGGCTCCAACATACTGTAACAATTTGCAGATACTAGAGAATTTCGTCTGTTTGATGCTTCACTGAACATTTAACTGAATTTGGAGTATGCTAGTTATTCTCTTTCTTCTATGCATAAGGGAATATGAGGGAATATAATTTAGTTTGTGTAGCATTGTTTTAAGTTTTAACCTGTGCAGGGATATAGTCAGATTGGACTTGTAATTATTAAACTATATATAAATGGTCGAGACTAAATCTCTTTCGATGCTCACGAAGGAATTTGTTTTCACGACACTTGGAAAATTTATAATATTTGTTATGTTTATATTAATTTTACTTTGATATTTTTTTGAGATAATTACAAATAAATTCCTCCAAATAAGCCAATAACAAAAGAGTATCATGAAATTGGGTAATTATTTTGAAGTCTTTAGGGATGTATTATATAAATATATATGTATATATATGTCTATATTTTGTCAAGTTACGTTGTTCACCTTTAACAAAATAATGGGAAGTGTTGTTATTGTTTAAATTGAAGTTGTTAATAAAGGTAAAGTCAAACTTCTGGAGTACAACCGTTTCTTCATACGATGTCCGATCAAGGTGATTCTAAAGTCCATATAAAGATTATAAAATTTTTTACTTGTGACCCAAATCTTAGGTAAATTCAATGGTCAGATTGAAATTTGAATATCCAGATGCAAAAGTGCAGCTTTTTGGTAAAAATTATTTTTAAAATTATCTAAATCTCATTCTAATGATCACAAACCTTTGGGAACACTTTGGACATGTCAAATAGGACTAAAAGTACCTAATAGAACATTCAAATGGTGGAAAATCCCCATACATTAAATTTGACCACCCGAATGTCATTTTTTAAAATGGACTCTAAACCTTCAAAATGCACAAATCATACAAAAGTTGTCAAAAATCAATCCAAATATTATGTATTTATATAAATACACATGCTAAATATTTTCACTTCGCTTAGAGCTTCTTGTGGGACCCACGCACCTACTCTCTCTATCCAAGGCGTATGTTTGCCCATAGCACACTATTTGCAATGCAATCACTTTGTATTTGCTTGCAAAATCACATCTATATCAAAATAAATATATTCTTGTAGTAAAAACTTGATTACTAAATAAATCCATTAAAACCACTCACCATACCCAAGTTTCCTAACTACAAGTCTACAAGCAGAAAAAAATTCATAAATAAGTTATACAATCCACACATATTCACACACATATATACATAACGACATCCCATTGGCACCCTAATTCTAAATACATTACAATAGATTTGCTCAAAAGAAAGGGGTTGCAATTCTTTACAATCTACAAACAACCCCTAGCTCTACTCCTTTTCCCGTCCATCGCTGGTTCCTTCGCTTGGACCTAGAAATATCGAAAAGAAAGGGGTGAGACAACCACAGTCTTAGTAACAGAGAAATCTACATTAATTATTACCAAGTAAGCTATAATCAAATAAACGAATAATAGATTCAACATAGTATATAATTTAACCATTTCAAATGCATGAATGCATGACATAGGCCAATATGGCCTTTCCTAACTAATAGAATGCCACCTGGCACCCTTTAACTTGCAAGTAAATCTCATACCCACTTATACCTCCATAGGCACAAAACATGATTTAAAGCATGATTGAATCCACCTAATTGCTTATGCTCCTTCAACATGAATCTTGAGCAACCGAAGCAAACTCCTTTCCCAGAGCCAACCCGACTTACACTCCGTGTGAGGGCTACCTTAGCCTAGGCACTCAACCTTACACTTCATATGTCGGATTCCTTCCCCCATTGAGAGGTGTCGAACACTCAATCCACTAATCACTTTAATGCACTGAAGCCACAATACGAAAGGCAACATTGAGTACTGGTAATGTGTTATAGAATATCACAAGTTCACATCTCCCCATTGGTGAACTCTCACTAAGATCATGCCTTTCACTCTTATCTACCTTTCCCGAGTATTGACCACATCAACACTCTAAGGTAGTATAACAACTATCACTCCTCCCTTAAGCAGTTCCTTAGCCTCTCTAAGGTACCTAACCCAATTACAATTCCTTAAGTACAACTTCCATTCTCTATAATTTCAATGCATGCAAACAACCTCGTTTTTATAAAAACAATATTGTCAAATGAATAGAAAACATATATGCACTATTATCCAAGTAATTCCCCATAAGCCTTTATAAAACACAATTAATTGCATTTAATCATTTAAAACATGTAATGTATGATACAACAACAACAACAAGCCTTTATCCCACTAGGTGGGGTCAATTATATGGATTGCAAGATACCATTGTGCTCTATCATTTATTAAGCTTTTAGGAATATTATTAATTAAGAGATCGAGTTCAATAACTTCCAAGAGTGTTCTCTTAGGCCTTCCTCTACCCCTCTTAAGCCTTCAACAACTTCCAATATTAATAATGCATGATAGCTAATAATATTTACTCAAAAATAGCTCAACAAAGTAATAAGAAATATAAATTCCCCTGTTACCTCAACCCTTTGGTACCAAAAAGATTCCCCTTGTATAAAATAGGACTTGGCTTGTTTTTTAACTTCTCAATAAGTTCCACCAACAATTCTCTACAACATATAAGTGATCCATATCACTTTTCATGGCAAATAGCATTAATGAAGACTATAACTCATACCACACAACTTAGGTCAATAAGTCATAATCCATCCTAATGGTCCATATATTAAACCAATCATTCACATAATACCATTTAACCACCAAAACCATTTATTAGCCACCACTAGGCCAATTTCCAATTCATATAATTTTCAATCAATTAAAAACCTTCACTTAGTGTCACCAACTTTCACCATTAACCCTTATAATGAAAAGAAAATCTTAATTTAAATTTTATTGGGCTTAAATAGTAAAATTATAACTAAATCAATAGGCTTAAACCATTGAGGAGTAAAACCCAACCTCTTGGGGTTTGACTTTTGACCTAAAACTTCTTTTTTCATCCAAGTGCATACTCAAAACATTAGGACATCATACAGAAACTCAAAACAACCTCCCAAGGACCCAAGAAAACTAAAGCTTACAAGAATAAAGCCTTTGAGATCAAATTTCAGAAATTTCTCTTCTAAAAATTAAAGAAAACCAAGAAGGAAGGAAGAGGATTGAAATAGGGAGTTTACATATTCTGTAGCCGAGCTCGCAATGGTTACAAAGCCTCCTAAATCTAAGTCTAACTCCCTTTCTTCCTCCTCTCTTCCGTCTTGTTCTCTTGTTCGTTTCTTTCCTTTTGTTTTTCTTGTTTCATTTTCATTTCTGTGTGCTATTTTCCTCTTAAAACATTTTAGGGAAAATGAAAAGAAACCCAACATTTTTTATTATAGCACAAAAGCCCAGGTCAACTTTAGTAATTTTTTCATAGTTAAAATAAAATAAAACTAAACTTTTGCTGAGTAAAATTCAAACTCTAGACCTCTATCAAATTATTCTTAATTTTAATTTATTTATAGATATTTTATTTTTTTAAAATAAATTTGAGTCTTAAAATTTTTAGGATGTTACATTGAGTCAAGGAGTGAACAACGATAATCATGTAAGTAGTAAGGAGGGAAATGGGACCAAAAAGATTGACTTAAAGGCAATGAAGAAGGGACATTAGCAGAAAAATGATCTAAAGAGGTAAAAGAAATAGGAGTTGAAGAATTTATAGTAATAAAAATAAAGGAGGATTGAATCATAAAAGGATTAGGATAATCAAGGAGAGGTGTAGATTGTGACAAAGGAAAATCAATAGAAGAAGTAGAAGATGGAGAAAAGAAAATTCAATCTCATAAAAAATGACATGTTGATTGATGAAAATATTGTGAGAATGCAAATCAAGACATATAAAACTTTTGGTGCCAAGGTGAAAACCAAGAAAAATGCATTTCCTAGCTCAATGATCAAACTTAGTGCGATAAGAAATAGAAGTGGAAGCAAAACAAAGAAAACTGAAGACACAAAAATGAGAAAAATTTAGGAACCCATTATAAAGAAGTTCATAAGGTGTCTGATTTTGCAAAATAGGGATGGGAAGATGATTAATGACGTGAACAACATGTAAAATAGCATAAGACTAATAAGCTAAAGGTAAATGACTTTGAAACAATAAAGCTTGAGTAACATTAAGAATATGCTGGTGTTTATGTTCCACAACACTGTTTTGTTCAAGCGTTTTAGCACAAGTTGCTTGATGAGGAATCCCTTTTGAATCAAAGTTAGAATACATAAGGAATTCAGGACCATTGTCTAAGTGAATAATTTTTACATAAAAGGAAAATTAATTTTCTAGAAATAGAATGAGGCGCTCAAAATGAGTTCTAGTTGCATATTTTAATTTCATTAAAATGACCCAAGTAAAGTGAGGGTAATCATCGACAACAGTCAAAATGGCCATGAACAGAAGTGATATTAAATAGACCCTAAATATCAACATGTAAAAGTTCAAGAGGATGTGTAGTGTGAGAAATGTCAATAGGAAATGATAATTTTCTTTGTTTGGAAAAATGACAAGCATCACAACTTCTATTTAAGGTAGGATTACAAGTGATTGAAAATTATTTTTAACCTAGAATACTAATAGTAGCAAAGGAGGCATGTCCTAACATAAGATGCCACAAATCAAAAGAAGGTATAGACTTAGAATATAAAGTAATAAGAGAAATTGAAGAAGATGAGAACCTACTTGCATGATCTTAGAGAATATAGAGACCATTCTAAACCTCAACTATACCAATTATCTTCCAAGAGTCCATGGCTTGAATGAAACAATGGGTAGTATTGAAGATTAAGAAACAACGAAGGTGAAGACTGAGTTTAGATACAAAAATTAAATGATAGTCAATACAAGGAATAAATGAAACATTAGTTAGATAAAAATCAAACGAAAGATAAATGGTTTCAGAATGATGAGCTTGAATAACAAAATCATCTGGTAACTGAATAGAAATAGGAGATATAGAAACTAATTTAGAGAAACAATCAATTGAAGAATATATATATATATATATATATGATTTGTAATAAAAAAACTTAAGTTAAATTTAAATTTATCGTGAGATGATTTAAGTATATTGTGTTAATTGTTTTGAAAAGATATAACAAGAGAGAATGTTGGTCTAGTGGAAATTAAGCTAACAACTTATCCACAAGGTCCTTGGTTTGAACCTTGGTGACACAAGAGAGGAATTTTATTTCCGTCTTCATGAAATTA